TGGAGCTTGGCAGGATGGATCTGGTACAGAAGAGGACTGGAAGGATCTGGGGGGGTGTGGTGCTTTTGAGCAGACAGAAATAGGTGGTAGGTGTGAAAGCAGCAGGTTCTCGAGGTGTTGATTTGTGGAACTCTGCCATGGAGTGTGCTGGAAATCAGCGTGGGATGGTTCAAAGAGCAACAGGACAAGCCTGCAGAGGACAGATAGGGCCACGAGCAGCCACCTAACGGTTGAGGGCAACCTCTGGCTCAGGTGGCCCTAAACTCCTACTTCTCAATGCCAGATGTTGGACTGATGTGGGCCATGAACATCTTCAGGAGATAGAGCAGAGCCTGTAGCCTACAGAGGCTGAAGCTTTGTTTAAAAAAAAAAAATCACCCAGCAAAAACTGTGCAGGCGGCTCGTTGTGGTGCAGGGAACCTGCCTGCTAGAGCTGGGCCAGATCTGCTGATTTACTCCCACAAAATGGAGCACGAGCTGCACCACAAGGACTCGCTGCTCTGATTTATGAAATGCATCTGTGACCACTTCTTAATTTGTTGCCAGCCCAAATGCCTGTGAACACCACCAGCATGACAAATGTCAGTGCTTTGTGGGAAGGTGATCACTGCTCCACAGCTATTGTCCAAAGGTTAATTAAGTATAGTAAAACCGTCTGGATCTCAAGCATTCCCCTTGCTTAAAATAAAGCAGAGGGCAGGTCTCTGGTGAAGGAAAATTCTCAGGATGGCACTGAGACTGAGGGGCATGGGAGAAGCAATGCCATTGCCTGCCCCTTCCTTGAGACCTCTGCATCCCAAAGGAGTCTGGTTTTACATGTGGTCTGGGGCCACGGGAAGCAGCCCAGGCCCAGTGGAGGGTCAGCACATCTCACAGCAAATCACCGGGTGGCAAAATGCCTTGGGGGCTGCAAAGCCCCAGGATGTGGGATACTCTTTCTGGACCCCATCCTCAGCTCAAGGGAAGCTGTGGACTCCCTGCTCCTGCAACACGTGTGAAATGAGTTGAGAGGTCTCAGCCCTGATCCTGGATGGCACAGAGGGATATTTGCTGCCGGCCAAGAACAGATTTGGGTTGAGCTGCAGCCGTGGGGAAAGGGTCGGGCCCTTCAGCCAAAGGGGGCAGAGAGCTGGATGCCTGGCTGGCCCCAGGGCAGAGCTCCATGGCTGCCTGGGTTGGGGCTGGAGCAGTGACCTGTGTCCCACCGGGAAGGCACATCTCCCGCCCCGCCGGGAGTGCTGCCCGCACCTCTCCTCCGGCCCATCTGTGGCTCCTCCTCTGCGAGCTCAGCCAAAGGCAGCTCCACCACGGGGAGCAACTGCCAGGAGGCTTCAGCAAGCAAACACTTCACAGTAAAGTGCAACACAACGTTAAATCACAGCTAAAAATATTCCCCAAGAGCTTTATTAGTAAATGCCACAGTTGGTGGAGTTTGGTGGGGTTTTTTTCCCTTTCTATTGCAAAATGTTTCAGCTCTAGGAACAGCAACAGCACTTGACTAAATTGCATCTAAACCTCTGAGGGCTGGGCTCCACAGCACTGGCCCTGCTTAGGAGGATGCCATAAATGCAACTGCCTTGTTACCTTGGGGTTAGCATGAAAACCTCATCCTGCTGCAAGTCTGGGTTAAAACAAACAGGCTCCTGTGTGTTTTTTATCTAAATGATGGGGGGTTTTACAGTTACATGATGAGCAAATGCTGTAAATCTCAGAATGTTTTGGGTTGGAAGGGACTTTAAAGATGATCTAGTCTCACTCCCTGCCATGGGCAGGGACACCTTCTACCAGCCGGAGTTGCTCCAAGTCCTGTCCAACCTGGCCTTGGACATTTCCAGGGATGGGGCAGCCACAGCTTCTCTGGGCAACCTGTGCGAGGGCCTCCCCACCCTCACAAAGAAGGATTTCTTCCCAATATCTAATTTAAATCTCTCCTCTCTTAGTTTAAAACCATTCTCCCTTGACCCATCACTATCTGCCGCTGTAAAAAGCTGCTCTCCCTCCTTTTTATAAACCCCCTTCAGGTGCTGGAAGGCTGCAATAAGGTGTCCATAGAGCCTTCTCATCTCCAGGCTGAGCAACCCCAACTCTTGCAAGTGGGTTTTCAGGCAGTATTTTTCCTTGGGGTTTAGTTGATGTGGGGTTTGGGTTCTGTTGTTTCATATCTCAGAAATGGGGAGCCCTCAGTAGCCCCTGACACTGGTCATGAAGCTGAGGGCCGCTTCATCAGGTCCTTCCCATCCCACAGAAGCTGCTGCCAGCCCTGGTGGCACCACCCCCACCTTTTGGCTCTGTCTCTGCTATGGATACAAATTAAATCCATGCAAAAAAACCCAACAAAACATCAATGCTGATACCCTAATGCTGAAGGGAAAAAGGTGGGGGCAAATGTGTGGATGAAACTGCATGATCCTCCTCCATCATCCTTCGGCTGCTCCACGTGTGGCTCCTGCCTGGGAGCAGTGATGCTGCCTTGATCTTCAGAGGAGTCAGGGAATGGGGCTGTGGGAACACAGCACAGATCCTGGCTCTGTTTTGGCTGGAAAAGATCCCTGCTGGCCCAGGAATCATGTGTTGTTTCTAATGACTCTATCACCAAAGGAAAATCTCCAATGCCGGGTTTTTTTTCCCCTTTGTGCCCAGCTCATTACCAGAAGGATCTCTGCCGCTCACTGCTGCTCTGTGTGAGCAGGACGCTGCTGAACAAACCAGCCTTTTTCTCCCCAGCATAGAAGGCGCTTTGATAAACCCAGGAAACCCTCAGCCAGTAGCAAGGGGCTTTCTGGAAACCCAGCACTCGCTGGCTGTGGGCACAGCCACAGGCCTGGCAGCTCCAGCTCTGGAGCAGGCGCTCCCAGCCCGCCCGGCCGCGCTGCCCTGCAGGGCCGTGTGCCCGGCGCTCCCTGCACAGTGTGGCACGGGGGCTTCTCCCACCGCTGCTGGACCCGCTCCCTACAAACATCCAGGTGGATCTGGGGAAGTGGGGGTAAATCCTACCCAGGAGCTGGTTGCAGCCTCTCTGCTCACAGAGACGTGCGAAATGCCGTGGCTCTCGCCCGCAGGGTGCAGCTCAGAGGGTGCCTTTTTGGATGAGCAGCTCTGCAGAAAAGCATTCTTGCTTTTCTTTTTTTGTTTCTTACCACTTCGGCTTGAGGCTGTTGTTCGTAACTTGTCAAGATCTTGGCATCCGCGGCTGATTTGTCATCCGCCATAAAATGGAGGATGAGCATCTTCGGTTCAGAAGTGGGCCAAGGGAGATGACAGCTCAAAGCAAAATATGCTTCATCTCGAGTTTTCTCTGTGGGCCTCAGCTCCCGGGAAAAGGAGCGGACATTTGGGATCTGAGTTGCTTCACAGTGTTCTGGGTAAGAGCCCTTTGCCTGCTCTGCGTTTGCGACAGCAGAGCTCGGTGCACATTAACCTTCTGGCTGCCAGAGGAGTTGTGCCCAACTGATGCTGTCACCAACCTCTCCTATTCACCTTCCTCCAGCCTGTCACAGTGGAAGCTCCTGAGATACACAAATGCCACCAAAATGCCATTTTTTATGAAATTCTACCAGCAATCTCCTTACAATCCAATGAGCTGCAGCGTGAGGGGTGTGCCTTGGCAGACTGAAGTTTTGAAGATGAATTATTAATCCTGCCAATGCTGAGCTGCCCATACAGCCCTGGTGCTGCGCCCCCCTGCTCCGGCTCGTGTCCGGCAGCGCATCCGCCGGCGCATCCAGCGGCTATTCCCGTGTTCCAGGCAGCCCTGAAACAGCCACAAACTCAGGGAGAAAGCATCTTAATCCATGGGTATTTTATCACTCCGACACCACCACGAGGCAGCAAGAACTCCAGTTTTCAGCGATAAAATTAAAGCTCCCTGCAAGTAGCTGAATCACTGAGCATGGAGGCCCAGGCTCTGCACCTCTGGGGGTGTGGGCCTTCCTGCAGCCTGCCCACAGGGGCGCCCCGGCTGGGGGCTCCAACAAGGGGGCTTCCAAATCCGGGGGGGCCCCAAATCCCAAAGAAGGCACCAGGCTGGGGGGGGGGGAAACGCATGACAGGTGACACCATGGTTCTGCCCTGCTCAGCGCTGTCCCCTCCACACCCCCAGCCTCACATCGGGCTGCAGCCCCCCCATAGCCCCCCTCATTCCCCAGCCAGGGGGTGATGAGCCCTGCCCTGCACTGGCTGTAGGTGCACAGGCAACCGCGGGTCCAGTTTATCCCCCACAGTGATGTAAAGATGAGGGATCCTCCCTCTCCGAGATGCAAGGATGTAAAGTGATGCTCCCCACCCCCACGCTGCCCCCATGTAAGGGTGCAAAGCAGCCAGGTACCCCCCCCTTCCATGTTGGAATGCAAAGTGACAGCACACACGCCCCCTCCCCATCGCCAGGGCGCAGAGAGGCCCAATGTGCCAAGAGCTTTGGGCATCCCTCCCTCGCGCCATGACAACGTGCAGAGCAGTCTGACCCCCTCCCCTCCGAGCAAAGGTGTGAAACGCCGGAGGATCCCCCGCCCCCGCACCGTGAATAGCCGCAAAGTGGAGGGACCCCTCGCCCAAAGATGCGGAGCAGCTTGGACGGCCCCCTACCAGCGCAAGGACGGGAAGGGATGGAGGGCAGCCCCCCACCCCCCTGCACGGCTGCAAAGCTGGGGGGACACCCCCGCAATACGAGGATGCAGAGCGGCCCGCCCCCTCCCCGCAAAGATGCGAAGGGAGGAAGACCCCCCCACGGCAAGGATGCAAAGGGATGGATGTCCCCCCCAAACGCAAGGATGAGAAGCGGTAAAGGATCCCCCACCCCCCCATGCAAGGATGCAGAGCGGCGGGGGATCCCCTTCGCTCAAAGATGCCCCCCCAGAAAGGATGCAAAGCCACAGGGGACCCCAATAAAAAGGCTGTAAAGCTTCTCCCCTATGCGGTGTCCCCCCACTGCAACCTCACACATGGGGGGACGGGGACCCCCCACTTTGCGGGTGCCGCGTCATTCCCGCACCCCCTGCGCTCACCTCCGCCGGGCTGGGGGGGCCGCGCCGTGTCGCGGCGGGGCCGCGCGGGGCCGTGCGGGGCTGCGGCCGCCGCCGCTCCCGCTGCCCTCGCCCCGCTCCGCCGCTGCCCGCGCTGCCCGCGCCGCTCCGCAGTGCGCGCACGGCGCATGTGCCCCCTCCCCGCCGCCCCCGCCCCGCTCCGCCCCGCACGGCCCCGCACGGCCGCCCCGGGGCTCCCCGAGCCGCCCCGCACCCGCCCTCGCAACTTCGGGGGGTTTGCTTTTGGGGGTTTTTTCGGTTGGTTGGTTAGTTGTTTTTTTGGTTTTTTTTTTAATATAAATACCTAATTTCCCATAGCTTTTCATCCCCCTGCCATGAGCTGCGGGTTTAGCCCATCTGGCTGGAAATTCTTCAGCTGGTGAGATCAGGAGCAGAAAGGAGCTCCGGTGAGAAGAGGAGCAGTTTGGGCACTGTCTTCTCTGGGTTTGGCATCACCACCCTCTCCTTCATGCTTCTCCTGCACCCTGGGCCCATCTCCCCATGGATCAGAACTGTGCCAGGGTGATGGTCTGGGGGTTTGCTGAAGCCCCAAGAAAAGCATCATCCTGCCCAGCTTGTCACTGTCACCAGCCACTGTTACCCGAGAATTTTAGATCCTCTCCTTGATCATGCCACGGAGATGCTCTGAGGGTTGGGCAGTTCTGCTCTGGAGACCTGCTGGGAGAGCTGGGGGAGTTCACCTGGAGAAGGCTCCAGGGAGACCTGAGAGCCCCTTCCAGCACCTAAAGGGCCTCCAAAAAAGATGGTGAAAAACTTTTTAGCAGGACCTGTTGTGACAGTTTAAGAGGTGATGGTTTTAAAATAAAAAAGGGTCTATTTAGACTAGGTGTAAGGAAGAAGGTTTTTTGCAATGCAGGTGGTGAGATCCTGGCACAGGTTGCCCAGAGAAGCTGTGGCTGCCCCATCCCTGGAAGTGTCCAAGGCCAGGTTGGACAGGGCTTGAGGCAACCTGGGCTAGTGGAAGGTGTCCCTGCCCATGGCAGGGGGTAGACGAGATGACCTTTATAGGTCCCCTCCAACCCAAACTACTCTATGTTTCTGTGCCCCAGAGCCAGCACTGGACCATGTTGAGATGCTATTTGGTGCTTCATCTTAATGTTTGGGGGTCTCATCTCTTTGTTTGGGGTTGGAGGTCTGATGCTGCTATCTCTGAAAGAGCCCTCCCTCTTTCCATAGCCAGTGATTGCTCCTTGGTCTCAAAGCCTTCAGCTGGAGCTGACAAAACCCTAGCTTGGGTGTCCTAGAATCCTAGAATGGTTTGGGTTGGAAGTGTCCTTAAAGACCATCCAGTTCCAATGCCCCTGCCATGGTCAGGGACACCTTCTACTTAGACCCCACCTCAGGGCTCTGCCCTTCTCAGGCCACTTCAGCCCACACAGACCTGTTCCCTGGGCTCTGTCCACACTCCAGCACCAGTGACTGGCAGGGATTTTCCAGGCTGGCTGAGGAGTGACAAGAATGACTCGCTCAAGGGCTGAGACTGTGGGAAAACCACATGGCTCTGCCCACGACAGCTGTGCATCCATGCCAGGGATGCCAGCAGAGCCAGATCAGGCTCCAGTGACCCCACACCCTTTCCTCAAACCCCTGGCCATGCCCTTACCCAGCCGGGGCAGTCAAGGGGAGCTGCAGGCTGGAGGCTGGTGGTGCAGCAGAGCAAGACACCCACAGAAATAGCACCTCAAATCCTGGAGTCAATTTTGGACCTCTCACTACCAAAAAAGACATTGAAGGGCCGGAGCGTGTCCAGGGAAGGAAATGGAGCTGGTGAAGGGTCTGGAGCAGCAGGAGTAGCTGAGGGAGCTGGGGGGGCTCAGCCTGGAGCAAAGGAGGCTCAGGGGGGACCTTCTGGCTCTGCAACTCCCTACCAGGAAGGGGGAGCCGGGGGGGGGTCGGGCTCTGCTCCCAGGGAACAAGGGACAGGACAAGAGGAAATGGCATCAAGTTCTGTCAGGAGAGGTCTAGGTTGAATTTTGGGGAAAATTTCTTCACTGAAAGGACTGTCCAAGCCTGGCAGAGCTGCCCAGGACAGTGGTGGAGTCCCCATCCCTGGAGGGATTTAAAAGATTTGTAGATGTGGCACTTGGAGATGTGGGTTAGTGGTGGGCTTGGCAGTGCTGGGGAATGGTTGGACTCAATGATCTTAGAGGGCTTTTCCACGCCAAACAGTTCCATGTTTCTACGATTGCTGTAAATCCAGCCGCTGCTAGAGGGCAGAGCGAGCCAGGCGAGACAGGTGCCTTCAGCTGTGCAGGAGCTGGGATGTGGGAAACGTGTTTGCTTGCTCTTTCCCTTCCACGGAGGCATGTGGGGGAAGAGCTTCAGCAGCACGAGGGATAATCTGTGACATGGTTTGCAGTTTGGAGTGAGATGACTCACGCTTTGACTTTACAGAGCGCTCCGGGGCTGGATTAAGCCGTGTTTGTGAGGAAGGCGCCTCACGGCAGCGCAGAGGCAGCAGGGCTGAGCTCGGCGTTCCCAGCACATCAGGGCTGCACCCCCCGCCCTGAGCTCAGCCGCCACCGCTCCTGGTGCTTGTCAGGAAGAGAAAACAGGCCTGGATGAATGTCCAGGGTGTCCCAAAGGGGACAGCTGCCATCTCCCGATAACTCACAAGGCTGGAACTTGGGGTCTGGCACAAGGCTGTGTGCCAGCCTAGTGCCCGTCCCTTTTGCAGGCAGTGGTGTAAGGGCAGCTCTGATGTGCTCAGGCAGGTCTGCAGCCCATGCCAGCCCCAGCTGCTGCACCCTGACACCAACTCCACCTGCGGGTGTCCCGGGGACCTTCCTCATGCAGCCAGGGCAGCACAGCCACTCAGGGATCCTTTGGATTCATCCTGGACTTCCTTGGCCAGCTGTGCTGTCCCAGTGCTGGTGCATGAACCAATGCTGCAAGAGGTGTTCTCATCTCAAAAAACTGAAGTAAAAGTTTTCCCCGACCCGCACAGAGCCAGAAGTGCAGCTGTCAGGGTGAGACAGGACCATCACAGCCTGCGTCAGCACCACCTTGTCACAGGGACAGGGATTTAGAGGACTCACCTTTGGCTGGGAGGTGTGAGCAGCCCCTCTGCCATAGCATGCAGTGCTGAGGTGAGAGCTGCCCGGCCCTGCCTGCAGTGCCGAGGTGAGAGCTGCCCGGTCCTGCCTGCAGTGCCGAGGTGAGAGCTGCCTGGCCCTGCCTGCAGTGCCGAGATGAGAGCTGCCTGGCCCTGCCTGCAGCCTCCAATCACCCCCAACCCTTGCTTGGAGCAGCTCTGGGGCTCTCTGTGCTGCCAGAGCTGACGGGAGCAGGTCAGCACATCACAAACCCTCAAACTTCCAGGGGCAAATCCAGTGGGTGTCACAACCACCTCGGGCTTCAGCCCCAGGAGCTCCCAGCAGCTCCTGCATTCCTGGGTGAACATGCTCAGAGCCCCCATGCAGGACTTTGGAGGCACAGGCAGCGAGCAGGCAGCACACCTGTGGTGCCCCACACAGCCTGGACATCTCTGCATGCTGAGGAGCCGGCCTGGGAAGGGCAGGAGCTGCTCCTGGAGCAGGCAGACAGGGAGCATCAACCCCAGGCTTGTGTGCAGGGACTTTCGCAGTCTCACAGCAGCCTCAGGGGGTGGCTGGGCCATGTGCTGGGACATTTTGGCAGATGGTCTGTCCACAGGAGGCCCTTGCAGAGCTTCTCTGCATCTCTACCAACTACAGATTAGGATCTTCTCCGTCCAGGGCTGTGGAAGGGGATGCTTTGTGTCTGGTCCCTGCCATTTCCAGGGCAGGGTGCAGGCAGGCAGCAGCACCCACAGATCTGAGCAGTACCCTCAGCCCAGAACCAACCTCTGCCCAGGCTCTTCCCAGCTCTGTGCACAGCAAACATGGGGTTTAATCCAAATTTTTTCCCTGTCCCACTTGCAGGCTGGGTCTCAGATCAGCAGTGCCCTCCTGCTCGAGCTCAGGGGCATGAACCAGCTGCACCAAAGCTTCTCTGCTCCCAGAGCCACTGGCCCTGGAGAGGTTTGGGTTGGCTTTGCCCTGGGCCATGGGGAAGGATCCTGCAGGCCTTTGGCCATGCAGCTCCTGGAGATGTTCTGGGCTTACCAAGAGCAGTGTGGGTCCAACTTCATGCCATGCTGGAGCTGGGCTGTGCCACCCACCCTCCAAAGCTGATGGGTCCAGGAAGTTCAGTCTGTCCCCAGACAAACTATGCAAGTATCAGTTACTACCAGTAAATTAATGAACCATGGGAAAAGCTTATCCTGAGGGCACATCACAAACTTTTTTGCTAGTGATGCTCTGAACCCCTTGGGGTTTTAAGCAGCTTGGAGTAAACAATGGCTCCCACATCAGTGGCACTGGGGACAAACAGGCACAGAGACACCCAGGCGAGCACCCAGCCCCAAACCCCGTGACTCCAACAACCCTCCACTCTGTCACATTCAGCCCAGCAAACCGAATTCCGTGGAGTTGGATGCCAGGAGGCTGCCAGAACCTGGCTGCTCTTTGGTTGGGGTTGCAGCCCCCCAGCTGGTTCAGGAGGCAGTGCCAGGTGCCGTGCCACCGCCGCACGCGCTCACCTCCCGCGCAGGCTGCTGCAAGGGCTGAGGTAATCCTGGGTAATTCCTGACTTCCATGGAAATGCCTCCAGGCTGCGATGATTATCGCTGTAATTAGCCTCTCTGATTTTTCTTGGTGTTCTATAAAATATTAATTTACAGCTGGATCCCTGCCTCCTTTGTGTGTCGGCTTGAGCTCTTCCCATCAGCAGAGCACCTCTGGCACCTTGCACTGGGGTCCTGTGGGGTTACACAGCACAGCTGGGGTGGCCACTGGCAGCTGGATCGTGGTTGGGGTTGGTGGCTCTGGGCAGGAACTTCCACTTCCCCACAGGAATGTGTCCTTGGAGTTCCTATTTCAAAGGAAATATGGAAAACCAGTGAAGTGGTCTCAGAAAATGCCATTCACACCTCTTCCCCTGGATGGCTGGAGGTGAGCAGGCAGCT